AATCGGGGTTCATATATCGTTTCCCATCATTTCAGCAAACCTACTCTCCGAAAAATGAGGGGACTATCTGTATACGGGTAAAATCGGGGACAATGCATACCCCGATTTTTCGGTGAAGAAGACGAAAGAAGAGCACAGACGCACGAGGTTGAATCCATGAGAGGTGAACGATATGTTCATCATCAGGCGTGATAAAGTAACGCTTCCCGGACCCAGAACGAGCTTTGAGACCTCGGGAAATATGCAAACGGTTATGCACAACGGATAGAGGGCAGTGATATCCGTACCTAACCGGATATCACAATGCAGATCTCGCTCGATGTCGGTTACATATTAGTAATTAATGAGAAAGGAAGATTTTTACTTTTTTTAGACTTGTACTAGGGATGAAACTCTCCTACTATATAAAAGGGAAGTTTTTCTTTTGTAACACACGAATCAAAGCAATACAAATTCATTCTCTGCTTTCTAGCTACTGCAAAAGTTCTTATTTAATTGTTTTGTTCTTTATTCATAACCGGGCTCGAGCCAAGGGTCCAATCGAGCGCAAAATTACTGTTCAACCTAGGTTCGGGCTAGACCATAACATCATAACTGGTTTGATAGTTCATTTTGTCTTTAATTCACTTATCCAATATTCTGGATTATTTGTGTTGAATTAATCCACATATCCTTAAAACTGCGTATAAATTTAATTGTTATTCGATTTAAAGGTAAACAGTTATATCCATCTCTATAGAATTTGAAGGGGCGTTAAGTGGGGGAAGGTTGACATTAGGATGGATAAAAAGCCACTAACTGTACAAAGATCTATGTATTAAAAATGCTATCACGTCTGATTTTATTTTTAGAACTTTATTAGTAGTTAGTTACCAGAAAAGACAAAACCTAAAAAGAAAAGGATATACTAGTAAATAAGCACTGGATCTTGGGAGATAGAATGTGCAGTTTATTGTTTCACACGTTATCAACTTTAGCCAAAAACCATGTCTTTTCATGATCTTCAGAGGACTGAAATAGCAATAAAATAAGAATTTAAGTTATATACATTAAGGGGTCTTCTGGTTATTAAGATTAGTATATAATCTCGATATAGAGTTTGAGATTATATTTATCTCGTATTTGATTACTGGTATTAGCTAAAATCGATATAAATTTATATCAATATTTTGGTATTATCTATTCTAGGATATTCTTTTCCAAACCAAACAATCCCTAATAGTGTAATAGACTTTTTACGTTATCGGTGTTATTTAATTAGTTATAATATATTATTTACTATTTATTCTAAGTTATTAATTAATTTTATTAAAAAAATTATCTGCTATTATCTTTTAAATGATTTGTCCGTATAAATCGCTAATGCATGCATAAAACTTATACTCCAACTATAATCTACACTTTATTGCATTTTTAAACTACTAATTTAGTATTGAAGTCAAAATTAGATCATTGCTGAGCTAGCAACAGAAGGAAAGTTCAGCAAATTTGTTAAAAAAATTTGCATGATAAATTAATTTTCTTTTTTAGTATATATATGCACTAGAATAGCTCTTCCAGTTATTTGGTAGGCAGGTGGCTTCTTTCTATTGCCTTGTGAAAAAATTTAAAAGTAATGTAGTTATAACTTTTTTTTAAAAATTTTATGACCATTATAAGACCATGCTTGCACTAATGGAATGGTTACTTAATTTTTTAATCCAAGCTTAATTATTTTTTATAAATATCACATACATACTTATAATTGCTAATTAATGAGTTAGTGCATTTCACATCTACAATATAAAAAATAGAAACACATAAATTAATTGCTTTGACTCATAATTAATTTGTAAGGTTTAAAAACAGAATCATTTTCAGTATTTTATTTTGTGATTGTACGAGGACCTTGATATCACGTCATAATTTGAATTTTAGAATTTCTTTATAATTTCATAATTTAATTACTTTGTGATTTGACGTAGAAGCTCTCGATTACTTGACACCTCAAAGTAAGTTTCTCCTTAATTTCTTCTTATGGTTACTTTTCTTTTCTCTTTTGATAATTTGAGAACATGCAGTAAACAAGTTGAAGATATCGATAATATGTTGCAATTTAAAAGTTTTAAAAATCCATTTTATTAGTTTACTTATTGATTAGAAGAAATTAACCTCAACATCATAAAATATCTAGCTAATTAAACTAAGTTTCTCATTACTTTCTTCTTCTTATATTTTAAAGTACGTTTTCCCCTTATTTTTTAATTATTAGAGTCGTCAATAATTAAATAGTCTTAAGATTTGATATCATGTCATTTGAAATTTCATTATCATTTATTCATTAGACGAAGACCTCAATATCATCGAAGATAGGCGGAACTATAAGTTAAGCTACGAGTTTTATTGAAATTGGTAATTTTAGTCTAAATTGTATTAAAAAATTCACGAAATATGCATAGAACTTAAATTTAGAATCCAGTTACTAATACATAATAAAATTTAGAACTTATTTTGGCTTCCCTTCTATCAAAAAATAGGCCAATATATATGCTTTCCATTAAATTCTTAGTAGGCGTTCGAATATGAAAATTGTTATTTTTTAAAAAGTTAGTATTTGGAGATAAGTTGAAAAATGATATTTGGAATTTAAAATTATGTTTGAACATGTATTTTACTTGAAAAAAATGTTGCACTGTTGTGAGTGGGAAAAATAATTCTGATAATTTTTAAAAAGTGGTCAAAATCACTTTTTAGTTTTAGAAAAAACTCATTTTCGAACAAATATCAAAAACTTGCAAAATTTCATGAACAAATATATTTTTAAATTATATTTAGTTTTTATTTTTATTTTTATGAACAAACAGGGCCTTAATCTTTCGTCCCGTAAACAAATTTTCCTCGCCAAAAGTTGCAACCCACTTTATCTTCGTCAATAAGAAAATAATTTTAATTTCTTCTACTATGATTAGTGTGATTGTTTACTCAAGGTTTAATTCGTCAAATATAGTGTCCTTAATTGTAAAGTGTCGTAAATTAGTGTCCTAAGATCTAATTAAAAAAAGTTTTTCCACGCATGAGTAGGTGTAATTAACGACAAAGAGTTTGCTTTCGTCACTTCTCTTCCCGCGAAGCGACAACTAACATTTTAAAAATGCACCTAATTTGCTACCATTTACACGCTCCTATGTACTTCGTGCTGCCCACGCTCTCTATTCCTGCAACTCAACTCAACTCAATTACAAAGTTTACTAGTTAAAGATAATTAAGTAATAAAATATACATTTTAAAAATTTACACTATTACTTATTGATTTGATGAAAAATACTTAGTACGAGTAAGTAATTTTTTGGTTCCCCGGTGTTTAGTACTCACTTTGAAGGATAAAACGCTCTTTATTAAAGATAATTCTTTTTTAACACTTAAATTCGAGACTTTAATTAAGAATAGAGGAATACGTTACACTCTAGTACAATCTTTGGTGGTGGTAAGTAATGTTACTGCTTATCGTTCACCGGTAAGATTGTTTCGTGTCCTACAATTAACAACAATAATAACAACCTAGTAAATTTTTACAAGTGGGGTATATGGAGGATAGAGCGTACACAACTTTGCCCTTATCCTGGGAAGATAGAGAAATTGTTTTCGATAGACCCTCAGCTAAAGAAATGAAGAAAAGAAGCAGTGACAACAAACAGTAACAACAACAAGATATTAAGGAATCGAAGCAAAGATAACAATCAAACAATAGGTGGTATTAGCAATATAAGGATAAAGAGATACCATATTAACACTAATGCTACCGACTTGAGAGAGACAAAAGGACACGCTCGACTACCTACTAATCTTCTATCCAATCCTCAATCTTCATACCCTTCTATTAAGGGTCATGTCCTCGGTAAGCTCCAGCTGCGGCATATCCTGCCTAATTACCTTTCCTTAATAGTTCTTAGGCCTATTTCTACCCCTCCTCATACCTACCAAGGCAACCCCTTACACATCCTAACCGAGGTATGTGTGCTTCTCCTCTTCATATGTCCAAACTATTTCAACCTCGCCTCCCACATCTTATCTTCCACGGAAGCCACTCCCACTCCGCGTCCTAAAATTAAAATGTGTTTTTTTTTTAATTTTTATTTTGAACATTATCCTANAAATGTGTTTTGTATTTTATTTTGAACATTATCCTAAAATAATTGTCCAAAAACACCAAAGGCAACCTAAATTCTATCTGACTTAAGAGCGTGCGGCTATGGATATTCCCATGTTAGGACCCAAGGGGCAATCACAAAGTTGAGTGAGAGTGACCTGGTGCGCATATTTCAACCCCCAAAAAGGGGTGGGGGTGAAGGGGTGGGTGGTGGACATCAAAACCAAAAAAAAGATAATAATTAAATTCGATATAAAATTATTTACACAATTAAATCACCTAAAATATAAGTACAAATAATTTTATTTAATAATATTAATTAATCATTAAAAATAACGACAGGTAACTTGATATTTAAATTACATTGGTACTGTAAAAAATATATATATATTATACTATTGCTGTATACTACCTCCGTTCATGTTTATTCGGCATGTTTTGACTTTTCACGCCCCTTAAGAAATAATAAATGAAGTGCATAATTTATCATGATACCCATATTAATTGATGCGTATTTTATTGAATTTGAGAAAATAATTTGAAATGAGTAATAAATACTGTGGATATAACAAGAAAAAAAATTATTTTTTCTTGATATGCGTATAATAACAAATAAAAATAAAAATCTATTTTTAATATACATACCAATTCCAAATAAACTTGAATGGAGGGAGTATAAGTTAAACCAAAAAAGAAAAGAGAGAGTGGGTCTATCATATTGTAGTGGAAATATGATTCCTACAAATAAAAATAGAAAGAAAGGAAATATGATAAGTTCTCATCCTAAAATTCTAATCTTATTCGACTGTAGGCACCCAATAATACAATAAGCTAATAACACTACATATTTCTATATAATATCTGTATGTATCTATGTACACACACTAACCCCTCCCGCAACCCCTTATGTAGCTTAATATATATGTATATACAAGCTTATATATGTATATAATGTATGTATATAAGTTGATGTTGCACTTGCACACCCTTGATTTTTTTGGCTATATACAGAATTGTAAATAGTTTTAGGATTTATGTTTCATTGGATTTGATTCTAATGGAATTTTGATAAGACTTTGGCTTTTTTCATATTCTATTCTTCTTCTTCAAACAAAAGCTATTGGGAGGAGATTGGATTTTCAGTTTGTGATGTTTAGAGAGCTGAGAAATTGAGCGGGAAAAGTTCTTCAAGATTTTGCCGTTGGCTTTAAAGGTTCCATTTTTCTCTCTTCTACTGTTTGTTTGGTTTATTTTTGGAAAAGAAAACAAAATAAGAAAATGAAAGAGATCTTATTTAGTATTAATTAAAGTCAAAAGGGTTGAAAGTGAAGTTAATTTGATTGTTGATTGAAATTTTACTGTGTTTTGATTATAACTTCCACCCTTTTTCTTTGGTCTTTAAACTGTTTTCTTTTGCTAATTGCAAGTGTTTTGGGCAAGAAATTAAGCAGATGTTAATTGCTTATTGGTGTGTGTGTGTATATATATATATATAAATAATCTGAAAAAGATTAAAACTTTCTTAATATATATGATGTTTTGAACCTATAATCTGGAAAAAGATTAAATTTTTTACTGGATTTTAGCTACTTGATTTACTTTTTTGTATATTCAAACCATGAAATTAATCATGTATTTTAACTTGTTTTCTACATCTATTTCTTAAAGGGATGTAGTGTCAGATTGTTGGTATATATATGATAATAGTACAAAGAGGTGAAGAGGAATATAAAAACTTGTATGAAAATGGCTTGATATTTTAAATTGGATATCGAAAAGCTACTTTAATTTGACGCCTGCACTTCTTCTTGCACAAGAATTTGCTTATCTGTAGTCGTTTTGCAGCAAATTGTCATAGATTAAAACATTAGGACTGCTTTCATTAAGGATCAGTAGATTTTCTTGTCTTATGGACAATCAGTCTTATCAAAGGTGAAAAGCGCAAAAAAGGTCTAAGGTTTATTGGAGCTTTAAGCGCAAAGCACAAATGAAGTGTGGGCTTTAATGAAGAAAGGCACAAATCGAAAAAAATTACAAATATGTATGTATAGTCCGAGACTAATATCTATAAGCACAGAGGCGTATCCAGGATTTCACGAGAATGGGTGCACCCAGGGCGAAGCTATGTACGATGAACTGACAATCGTTCGCCGAAAAATTATACTATGTATAGGGTAAACTATTACTTGTTTTTAAAAAAAATAGACTTTGAACACCCTTGCATAGCCCACTGGAAAAGGATGTTAAACATTTGAACACCATTATTGAATTTTCTGGCTTCATGAACGTTATTTTTTTTCAACCCAACTTCATAAATCAAAGAAAAAAGATAAAGAAACAAAAGAAGAAATGAGATTGATAAAGAAACTGGAAAAATATGTGACTTTTGTTTGTAGAAAAGTTGGTATTTTGCTGATTTGCAGAAGACTTAGAGCGCCAGAGAGTTTTGTGTGGAGAGGTATTTTTAATTTAGGGATTTTGAAAGTATAACTGAAAACTAAGAAGCAGTTTATGTAGTAATAAAGAGAGGAAAAGAAAAAAAGAACGTGTGTGCTAAAGAGCATGGGAAACTTTAAACTGCGGGCCCAGGAGCATGGGTATGTAGCCAATTTATTAATTAAAAAGTGAAATAATGGATAATTTTAAAAAGGGTATTGCGGGGATTCGAACCACCTACCCGGTGGATGGAAGGTGCACTTCTCAACCAGTGCATTTCAATGTTCACTTGAGTATGGGTTCACCCATACAAATTCAAGTATTTTGTGCTGAAATTTACTGGTGCTATACAAGGTTTAGGGAAAGGAGGATGGGTTCACGTGAACCACCCCCTCCCATGTAAATCCGCCCCTGTATAAGCATGAATACCAAATATATGGACAAAGAAATTGAAAAAAATTTACGATAAAATATCGATTGGTTAGTGTCGCCTCTTTAGAATTAAGCTCATTGGCAAGAAAAAGTATGTCTTAGAGCATTCATGACAACACTGAAGCGCCCGCTAAGCGAGGCGAAGCGCTCAACATGTTTTGAGCCTCGCTTCAGGGCTTAAGCGCGCCTTTGATAACACGGTGGACAATCCATTTTCTGTATGGAAGTTTTTCATGTCAACAATAGCTGACCTGTGTCTTTAAACCACAGTCCATACACAATGAATTCTTCAACATACACCCATTTCGTCGCCTCAAGAAGGATGGGTATATGCGATTCGATCCATCAACTTGGAATGTGGGATGATTTCAATGGTAGTTTCCCAAGTACATCGGCAACCATGATTTTAGAAGTTGATAAATGCCTAGAGGACCAGATACCACTTATGGAGAAAAGACTAGAAAACGAGGTTTGTTCTTCTCTTTAGCTTTTCTTGTTTTAATATCTTTCACAGCTTTTTGTGTTTTAGCTTTATTGATTAAAAAAAAAAAAGAACTTTATCTGCTTTAGTTATGCTGCAGATTGTACTGATTAATATAGTTAATGTTTCTAGACAGAAGACACTTCGCATGGAACAGTAGGGACTTCTAACAGATATGAACCAGAAACAAGTAAACCCGTCGAGAAGGTAAAGATATGTTTTTGTTCTTATAATCTTGTATCTAGAATACTGATCTTAAAATGAAGGTTTTGTTCGTTAGGTCATTCTCATGAATTGAAAAGCCTCCTTTTGGTTGGTGAGAACATCTGTTCATGTGTTCAAGGAGATTGATGTATGTTTGCTATTGCTTTTCTCGTGGAATCAGCCACTGATGCTTGCATCAGGGTCGGTTGCCTACGTCAAACTCCCTTGGGATGCGGCCCTTCCTACGACCCTGCGTAAACGCAGGATGCTTTGTGCACCGGGCTGTCCTTGCTGTTGCTTTTCTGATAGATAATTTCTTTTCATTCATTTTTTGGAGATAAGATAAACAATCATGTAACATTCTGACGCGTAGATGTGCAGTTTTGATTGATTTGTATTTTCAATTGTTTAGTTCCCTTTCAGTAGAAAACAGAATTAGGGCCACCTATACATGCTAAGCTTTAGATGCCTACATTTACTGCTTCCTATGTGAATTATTATTAGAGAAATTTGAGGTATGAGTTTTTCAATAAGATGAAGTATCCTAAGCTTAGCAAGACTGATTAGTTAATTCTATCTGTGGTAAAAGGTCTCCGATTTATGGAAGAAAAACATGTAAAATAATTTTAGAGGAAATATACAGGAGATGAAGGGAACATTACATCTGAATTGATAAATTTTGTAGCGGAGTTTCCTTGTTTGGAATGACATGTTGAAGAATATCATCAATATATATGTTTTGCGGCTTTCTTGCTTTCAGGCAAGAACTTGCTTAAAATCTTTAAGTGCCAAGTTCATCATTTGCCTGTTTTTCTTAATGTTCTTTTTCATTATTCTTTTCTTGGCAATGAGACCTCAAAAAGTATAAAATCCTTGTGGCAATAAGATTTATGTCCAAACCTGATATACAGGTACTTAGACGTCTTGCACAAAACCGTGAGGCTGCTCGTAAAAGCCGTTTGAGGAAGAAGGTATTCCTTGAATTCTGCTAATTTATTCTGCAACATTGCTACTCAATGTTACTTTTCCTTATTAAACAAGACAATTTGGTACTCTGCTTGTGTCATTGATTTTCCAAGTTTACATTGTGTTACTTTAGGCCTATGTTCAGCAGTTAGAAAATAGTAAATTGAAGCTGATTCAATTGGAACAAGAATTAGAACGTGCCAGAAAACAGGTATAGGGACAATATTTATTCTTATTTATGAGTAAAAATAGCACGGTATAGCCAGTTTTCGGACTGGTCATTCAAAAATAGCCAGCGTTTACCAAATCAATGAAAAATAGCCACTATTTTGCTGCAACAGAGACCGGTCCAGCATAATATACTGGAGTTCGGTGCACCTGTGTATGAACTCCAACATATTATGCTGGACCGATATACTTTGCTGGCTCCAGTATAATATACTGGAGACTGGAGCACCGGTGCTCCAAACTCCAGTATATTATGCTAGACCGGTATACTTGCTGAAACTCCAGTGTATTATGCCGGAGTTCTAGTGTACTTATGTTGGAACTCCATCATATTATGCTGGAGTTCTAGCATACTTATCCTGGAACTCCAGTATAATATGCTGGAGTGCAAGTATACTGATGCTGGAACTCCAGCATAATATACTGGCGTATTTTTCGGGTTTTGAACAGTGTTTTCGCTCAGATTTATCTTTACATGAAAAGTGGCTTATTTTCAATTACTTTTGAAACTGGGCTATTTTTGAACGACCAGTTGTAAATCTAGCTATTTTTGAATTTCTCCCTATTTATGAAGGTGAGATCTTTTAGCTGATTAATGCGATGAATATTTTACCTTTAAGGGCGAAAGAAATCTGACAAATCAACTAACATTTTGCAACAGGGTCTGTATGCAGGTGGTGGTTTAGATGCTAGCCAGCTAAGTTACTCTGTAACCGCTAGCTCAGGTTTGTCGGTTCACACTGTATTGTCATGTACTTAATCAAACTTCATTCTCAGATCTTTGTCGGAGCAATTAAATTATGCTTGGATTTGGAAAGAATTCAGATGAGAGCTTTACCTTAGTTTCATTATAGAGTACATAGTGGAAGAAGCTTCTGCATAATTTCGTTTGCTGCTTACTTTTCCTATAATATTAAGATCACTGTATCACCCTAAAATGCCAATCGTTGGATCTAGTTAATACATTAGATCATTGTTGCTTGAGAGTGAATAATAGTTGGATTAAACTTAAAATGGAAACATTATTCCGCTTGATCTTTAAATAAGACTTACAGACTAAAGAAACATAGGATGAAAATATTTTGTTTTATTTTCAGGGAATTGTTTCTGCTCTCCTTTCACCTGCAGTTGTGTTTATACATTACTTATTACTATGAACATTTAATTCTTTGGCTTTGGAGTATCTTGTTATTAGAACATTAACGGGGTCACTCTTATCCTTATTCATTACCTTCCAATTCATCATATTTGTTCTACTTATCAAGTGTTTCTGGTCATTGCTTCCTTCTCGGTATCTCTCATTCTTCTAAATCACTTAGCAAACTAGGAAACTTAATGAAGAATAGCTGGTTAGAAACAACTACGGTCGCAGTGGTAAGACATTAATAATGTGTGTCAGATAGAACCAAAACGAGAGCAATTTGCAGTTCCTATGATTTCATCATTTCTGGCAAACCTATTAATGCCATGGTGCCTAATTATTTAATTATTTGATTTTCTAGAGTTCATCACAATTGCCTGTTAAAATACCAATTTATTAAATTAATAACATATTTCCTTTTCTTTTTCATACATTGTTTTTTGTGTTTTTTGTTTCCCTTCAAACCTAACTTCGTGAATCCACAGGAACTGCTGCATTTGATATGGAGTATGGTCACTGGGTGGAAGAGCAAACTAGACAAACAAATGAGCTAAGGAGTGCTTTGCATTCTCAAATTGGTGAAGCGGAATTACGCATTATTGTTGATGGTTATCTGAGCCACTACTTTGATCTCTTTCGCATGAAAGCTACAGCTGCTAAAGCTGATGTCCTCTATATCATGTCTGGCATGTGGAAGACATCAGCTGAGCGCTTTTTCATGTGGATTGGGGGGTTTCGGCCATCCGAGCTTCTAAAGGTAATGCATGCCTCAGTATGAATTCCCAACTGACGCTCGTTATTGAGTCCATGTGTCTATTGTCTTTGTCATTCAGTTGAATTCATCACCAAAGCCAAACATATGTTATTTCTTTCCTTAAGCTCGTGAATAATCGTCTTTTTTTCTTCTTCTTTGTCTTCGATTAAGAAAGGTGCTTAATGCAACATTTTCTGTTAACCTACAGGTTCTCACACCACATCTTGAGCTGTTGACAGAACAACAACTTCGGGAGGTTTGTAACCTGACACAATCATGTCAGCAAGCAGAAGACGCCTTGTCACAAGGAATGGTAAAACTCCACCAGATTCTTGCCGAGGCTGTTGCAGCTGGCCGATTAGGCGAAGGAAATTACACTCTTCCACAAATGGGGCCTGCCATCGAAAAGTTGGAAGCTCTTGTTAGGTTCGTAAATCAGGTAGTATCTCATATTGGATTTTCATTCCTTTCAATAGAAGTTCTCTTAAAACTTCCATTTATGTGTTTTTGTGGTGTGCTAATACTCAGTTTATTCTTTCGACGTCCGTGATTCGAATACTTGATTCATTCTCCTGACTCATCTCTGTTGCCTTTCTGGAAACAGGCGGATCATCTACGCCAAGAAACTCTCCAACAGATGTCCCGCATCCTTAATACGTACCAAGCAGCTCAGGGCTTGCTTGCCTTGGGGGAGTACTTTGAACGACTTCGTGTTTTAAGCTCACAATGGGCTACTCGTCTACGTGAACCTACCTAATGAAGCACAAGAAGATCTCCTGTATATTATTCGAGGAGTTTTGCCTTCAGAAGTCGATGCTGTGTAAGCTAAATCTGCCACTTGTTTATGTCAATAAAACTCTCAACATGAACATAGAACATTATATCAGGTGCTGCCAGTTCTGAAGCTCCTCCTCCTAATTGATTATTTGTACATATCTTCCGCGATGCTACGACATGGAATTTCCCAATTGCATTTTTCTTTTTAGTCACATTGGTTTGGCTACTGTAAACCAAAAGGTCTGTAGAAGATCTCAAATTACTTGTCCAGTGTCTGTGCAATGCTCAGATAAAGTTTTTGTATTTTCCCTCTGCATTCAAGAGTCTATTATCGTAGTATATTACCGAGCAACTTTTGAAGGATTTGGAGTTGAGAAATTGCTATAAATAACATCGACAGAACTATGTCGCAGCCAATAAATATCATGTTGTGATTTCTCATAAGAATTATGGTTCTAAAGATTTGCATCTAATATTTACTTTTACAGGCTGTGGACCAGAAGACTGTTGCTCACTTGGTATCTAAACCTATATAATCAGTGGGCGAGCCACATAGGCTCAAGGGCAAATGCAAATTCAGGATTCGAATGTTATGGGTTCGGGTTTGACATTTATTATTTGTACTTATTTACTGGATTTTAAACACATAGACATGATTCGAACCAATGTTACTAGGTTTGGATGAACCCAGAAGTTATACTAGATCTACTTCTGCTCAAGGGTGGTCAGTTTATACTGTATATATATTATGCGTTGAATCTTGAGCGTCTTTAATGAAATTCTTGGCTTCGCCATTGAGCTATATTCTTTTTTTGGTCAACTGGGTAATTATATATATATATATATATTTATATACACACACACACCCCTACTGTTTCAAAATAGTTACACCATAATATGAGAGGCTAAGCTCTCTTGGATTTCATTGTCATTGTCTAGCATCACTAGTATCACAGATATTGGTTTTTCTGGTAAATATAATTCCTAGGATATCTGACAACAGTGCTGTGTTTGCAAACATCGGGGGAACTGTCAAAAACTCGGTCCTGTCAAAAATTCCCTTTCTAGCTCCTTCCTTGCCGAGGAGGTTCGCTACTTGGTTCTGCTTGAAGCTATGTCATATAGTTGTGTTCTCTAGCTGCTCCATCAATATGGAATGCAAGGGAGATGTCCATGCTTTATCATTCTTATCACTTCTTCAGAATCAGTGGTGATCTCAAGGGGGATCAAATTTTGTTCCAGGCCAATTTTTAGGCCTTGGCAAAGAGCTAGAAGTTCTGCCATGATACTTGTGGTATGTGGCGGCCCCTTCATAAGTCCTTTATTTTCATTTAAGAAATTGGTGGCCGCTCTCTCTTACTTTCTTTCATTTAGTTAAGCGTGGTAAAGGATCTCTCTCGAAAGAGACTCCCGAAGAAGATTAAGAGCTGAAAGCGAATTCTCAATTATCTGACACTGGATCAGTAGAAAAACCTTTGTCATTACAATAGAAAATAAATGCGAATACCCCAACACGCAGTCTCCCCTATTATTTCTGAATACTCCACCAATTCCCCCTAGCCCAGTGCTTGTATTTGCAGCCCAATCAGTATTAAGTTTGTGGTGAATAGATTTTACCATGTTGCTACTTCTGGCAGGGTCTGAGAACTTAAATGGAATTTTTTACACAAATAGCTAGATAGATTTGTTGTTTGCTTTTTATAGCCGGTATGCATATAATATATACTAATTATACACGATTATACATATATTTTACATGGATTATACATCCTGCTATTTCTAGTTTAATCAGTTGTGTGAGCAGCTATTTAGGTTAATTCTTCAACTTTATTCTCAAAAGCTGCCATGAAATTTGGATATTAATAAAAGAGCGTGACAAGTCAGAAATGCTATCTTTTAAACTAAGCTAGCGTTTGGCCATAAATTCCCAAATTTGTTTTGAAATTTTTTATTTGGGTGAAGTTTGGTTTGGTGAAAATGTGTTTGAACATCAGTTTTCAAAACGTATTTCACTTTTTTTTTTGAAAAAACATGAAATATGACTTATACCCACAAGTTCTAAAAACTATCACAAATACCCAACAATACCTTCATCAATAACATTCATTATCATTATAAACATAAATAAATTTGGTACAAAATTATCATTTTTATAATGAACTGCATAATACACTATCAAATGACCGAGAAGACGAAGTGGCATTGTTACAAAATAATAAATGGTGGGGGGCAACTTTTAAAAAATATAATAGTAATATTTTGAGCTAAAACCAGCTTGGGTTTTGGGAATTTGCCAAAAAATGGATAAAAATTATGAACAAACATGTATTTGCAAAAAAAAAAAATTTAGAAAAAATTTGGTAAAATCTATGGCCAAACGGGTCCTAAGATTATACAATTTACATGCCAAACTTGATTAGGGCGAGATAAAGGGGTATCTCATGATTTGATTCAAATTGTTCTTCAATTGAACACCAAAAATTAAGTGGTGTTAGCGTATGCCCACAATTGACATTGACGCTTGATTTTCTTCATCAAAATTCTGACTAAGCATCTTAAGCAATATTTAGGAACTAGTTGTTACACAAATAGCCAGTCAGATTCAATATTTACTGTTTCTAATCGATATATATGGATTATATACAATTATTTTATATATATATTATACATCCGCCACTATTTATAATTTGCTATTTGGGTTAATTTTTTAGGAAAAAGGCACGAATAAGCATAATATTTTTGAACTATTTAATCAAATGACTCCTCAAAAGTATCAAGAGCAAAGATTGATGAATTTTGTACAATTGAATATATGAGGCTGTAATGAAATGGGACCATTTAATTGTGAGGGTTGTGGTTAAGATCTAGTTGCCAAAACCTCTTAACTTCTATTGGTTGGTGTAAATGTCATTTCAGTAGTGTCAGACAAAATACATAAGTTACTCCCGAACTATGACCCAAATTCCTCTTACACACTTTCTAGGAACGAATATTACTTTACACACCCAACCTTTCTAAAGTATATCTAATACACACTGCTTTGCCGACGTGGATAGTGCGTGTTTTTCCCAACAAATGAGTCACGTGAACTGAAGAATTTTGTGTCAGATGTCAATTTTTTTTTAGTTTTTTAAAATTTTAAATTGAGTCATCCTCTTCCTTTTTAAAAATTCTAGCTACTCCTTGAGCTACACCACCCGATCTCCTTCTTCGCAAATAAATATACCACGATTTCTTATATCTCTTCTCGTTGTAGAGAAGCTTAACTTGAGCTTTACCTATGGCGAAGTCAAATTTTTAGGAAGCGAGAATTTTTCGAAATTTTTTCCAACCATTAAAGCTTAGCTCAAGATTTTGCACATTCTTTAATTTTATTAATGGATGATTTTTTAAATAGTTGACTTGTGGCGATGACAGTTAATGGCGGTCGACTTTTTACCGAAGTGTAATGAAAAATGAATTGGATCTGGGCTCAAAAAATTTGATTCAATTTCAGCGGAAAAGATGGAGTTTTGGGTGTGTTTTCTGGTGATTTTTGTTAATTAATGGTGGCTTTGTTATTAAGTAAAAGGTGGAGGAAGAAGCTATGGTGTTTGATGGTGAGAGAGGAGGAAGACGGCCATGATAGTTATGAGGAAGATGAGGGGTATAATTGTATTTTATTTTTTTCTTAAATGACACGTGTCACTGTTTGATTGGTGTGTGATATTGCACATATTCTGAAAAACTGGTTAAGAAAAAAATGGTGTGTCTTAGATACACTTTGGAAAGGTTGGGTGTGTAAAGTAATATTCGTTCCTGGAAAGTGTGTAACAGGGATTTGGGTCATAGTTCGGGTGACAACTTATGTATTTTGTCCAGTAGTGTTTGACCAAATAAAACCAGAAATTGGTACTCCCTACTTATTTTCCAGATAAGAACAAAGTAGCATATGAATGTCCTTTACTTTGAATTAGACTTAGGCTATCGAACACGGGGTCAGAAGTGAACTACGAGTTGGACCAATCTGTGAATCAACGAACTCCCCTTGCATGCAATGATGTGGTGGTAAACATCTCATTCTAATTCAGTGCTCTCTGAACCGTGCGGGAAGATTTCCCATCACACGGCTCACCAACTTGATCTTCCGCGGGGTTCTCACTATTCATTTTTTGTTTCTCTTTCATTCTCAACTCCTTTTTTATATTTAACTCATTAAATTAAAGAGTTTACGACAAGGTGTCAAATGAACGTGTTAGGCTGAATTTGAAGGGATCAAAATGGACTAAGTGTGTGTATACATACTCTTTATTTATTACTTTTATTTTATTTTATTTTAGTAATGATGATATATGTTGAGCCAGTGGCGAAGTGAGGAATTTCACGAAAGTTATTTAAAATTTAATATATACATATAAAAAATAATATTTTATTTATATATATTATATAATTTTCGATGAAAGGTGTTCGATTGATCACCCTTCAATGTATATGATTACACGATTAGGTTGAGTTTAAAGAATGAAGTGTGAATTCATATTAGCGATTTTAATTTGTTTGGGAGTAAGGTGTAATTATTTTTATTGTTTGTAGATGAAAATATGTAGGCAAGGGAATTGGAGAACCATTTTTTAATAGGCAGAGGAGGGGACTATTTTTTTTCTTTGTAAAATCTTTTTCCGTTCTTTCCCTTTCACCATTCATTCCTTTTTTATATTCTTCTATCATATTTCATTTTTTTTTTCTTTTTTGTATTTTTCTCGTTGGGACAAATGAAGATGGGCCCGAAAAATTAAGGAATTTTTACATTCCTATGCCATATAGTAAACTATATTACTATTTATGCTTAACTTTTAATATAATTACCTTTTATATACCTAATTATCATTTATGTACCATTTTAGGATTTTAATGATATTAATTAGTCTCCTAATTTTACTCAACCGTATATTCTCATTCCCCCAAGTTTCTCTCTCCAAATCCCCACGATTTCCCCTTCAATCACCCACGATTTCCTCTTTTAAAACCAACGAAAATCTGTAACCTCTCCACCATTGACAATCATTAAAAAGTTTTGAATTCGAATTTGGGTTTTCAAAAGACATTGTTTGTTTGGATTGGATGTTGTTGCAAAGAATTGAGAATTCTCTCTACGTCTCTCTCTATCTCTCAATCCCAAATTTCAGTAATATAAGAGGAAAGGAAAAGAGAGCAGCAACTCCACCATTGACAGCCATTAAAAGCTTTGAAGCTTTGAATTCGAATTTGGGTTTTCAAAAATCATTATTTCTTTGGATTGGGTGTTGTTGCAAATAATTGGGAATATGGTTTGGAGTTTATACCTCAATTTTGAGGGGTTTTTGTAAATATTAGACTTGGCTTTGGCTGAATTTCAGATTGAAACTCGTCGAAGAAGAAGAAGAAGAAGAAGAAGAAGAAGAAGAAGAAGAAGAAGAAGAAGAAGAAGAAGAAGAAGAAGAAGAAGAAGACATGACATACATTATATTGCAGAAATTGTAGAAAAATTATAGAAAAAATGTATTCTGTTGTTTATTTATTTTTCTTTAATTCATTTAACTATTGTATAAAAGTTGAACAACATTGTATAAAAATTGTATTTAAGTGGTATTATATTGTAGTTGTATATAACTTGTTAGAAATAATATACGAAATTTGTAAATAAGTTGTATAATATATAATTAGTTGTATGAAATTTATTTTTACTATGAATAAATCAGATACAAAATATACAAAAGACATATTGTATAAAATTTGTATGTAAGTTTTATGTTATTGTAGTTGTATTTAACTGGGTGGAAATAA